TTATTAAAGTTATGGCTAGATATATATGACTTTACACCAGAAAACTCACATTCAGATTTAGAATGTCTTGAAGCATATGTTTGTTCCAGAAAAAACGGTCATCGATCGTGTTTAAATTAATACTTCCATGGTCACTTGCAGATTGCTTGATATTTGATGAGCTGCTGCTTTGACGCTGCAGACTGTTGGTTATATCTCCAGTAAATGAGAAGTAAAATGAGTCAGTTTCAGTGAATATACGCACAAGCTCTTCAGTAATCCGTCTTTCAAATTTCTCTCTTTGTTTTGAATCTTGTCTTGGCCCTTGTTTCACCTATGCATATAAAAGTTGATTGAATTAGTTTAGTTTGTTATTGTATCATTTCATATTACAGAACAAATCAAGATAAAATGCAGATAATGATACAAGTTAGTAATAAAAATGAAAATAGATAAACAGTATGAAAAAGAAAAATATTCAACATCTACCTGTAGAGTTGCAAGAGCAGCAGCTTGTTGAGTGGTGTTTTTGATTGTATTCCCAGCAGATTTGATTGAGCCCCATGTTTTACCAAGAACAGCTTTCTGGTCAAAGAGACTAGCACCACCAAATGGACCCTTCTTTGGATCTCGTTGCTCCCGATGTTTTCTTATGACATAAAAGAGGAACAGCTATTTATAAAGAACAAATTTGATGAACAGATGTTAGAATAGAGAAAAACACACAAAGGATACCTGCATGGATCTAAATTAAGATCTGATGGTTCTTCCGTAAGGGACAAAAATGAAACTCCTTTGATTTTAAACACAGCGTGTCCTCCAGGAAGATTTCCAACTAAAGCACACTCTCGAACAAGAAGAAGACGGTCCTCTGATGACTGAGCTGATATTTTTCCCACAATTCCGTATAATATGCCCAAACAAGATGGGTCTTCAGCGTGGACAAGATCCAAAGCTAGTTACAAGAAAATATTAACGGTAAGTAATAGGATCCCTTGAAATACTAAAATTATTTCATGCAGTTCCAGAAGTACACATTATTGAAGTAAAATAAAAACTTCAAATATTAAATGAAGTCACTGAAAACAGTCCAGAACTGAGTCACCAAGTGTGGGAGAAACAAAGGAATCTAACTAGGAGAAGGATGACACAAATAAAGCCAATGATCAACAAGAAACACGTCGTGGTGGGATTCACTCAGTTGAATAGAAAAACAGTAACGAAGTCAAAACGTAAAGGTACAGGCAAAACAAAGTAAAAGGAAAATGGCATGTGGGCGTCTGCAGTTTGAGGAGTGCGAACAATTGTCGAAAATACCTGTTTTGGCGTCGAATTGCCCACTTCTTCGATCCCACCACAAACTGTAGTTATCACGAATGAATATGTAGTATTTGTCAGTGCGGAAAAGTTCTATTCCAGGCGGGCTACAGGGTTGAAAAGTCATATTTACAAGAAAGATTTGTCTGCTTGAATCAAACGTCAAAATAATATTCGTGTACGCTGTGATGCATAGTTATCATTTTTGACAAGGCAGTGGTGCGACAGGTCTACCAACTTTCATTAATTAAAAACCAAACAAAAACGAATTTAGTGAAGTAACAACTCAATTTTTCGAGATTTAGACGAAATTTTCTCGAATCAGTTATTATTATTTAAAAAATTTAAAACCAGTTTTGCTGTACAAAGAAACCAACAATAAAAAAAATAGGTCTCGACAGTCCCAATGGCGTGGTTTTTATGCCCCTCAGCACCCTCAGCGCGCTTACTTTTGAAATTGTGCTGAAGCCCCAACATATGTAGTTTTACTCCTGGTTTGAACGAAATGCTCTAAAGTAGAACACAAATACTGGAAGTAACTTTTTAAAAGAATACCACTACTGGTAGGTAAGTTATATGAGCTCGTTCAGCATATACAAAGACCCTATAGCTCAAACAATATTTGCAGTTTGGTTTGGGAATTCCGCATCGACTCAACCCAGCGCACAGCAGAGGATCACCGATTTTCAAGGTGCACCTACTACTTTAA